TATATATATATATATATATGGTATTTTTCTAGTGTATTCAAATGTCTACCTTTCTTCCCCGTTGTTACAACTTCCATTACGTCTGTTATTGTTCCATATGCATGTCCCGTGTTTAGTATGTGATTTGAGTACCTGGAATTGCTATTATTATTTCTAATATCATGTATATGCTTCTTATATCTGGTGTTAAATGTTCGGCCCATCTGTCCAATGTATTTTAATGGGCAATCTGCACATTTCATTTGGTATCTACCACTTTTATTGTATTTATCGAATTGTGGTTTATGTTTAAGTATATTTTCAATTGTGTTCCATGTGCGAAATGCTATTTCTATGTGTGTGTCTTTGAAAAGTTTCGTAATTTTTCTTACTTCTATTGTACTATATGTAAATATGGCCCACGTTGTTTTTTGGTGTTGTTCATCATCATGTGTGTTTGATTTTTGTTTTCGTTTTGTCTGAGTTTGTCTGTTGATTTTGTTTGTGATGTATCCGTTGTTATGTAGTATGTTTTTAATAGTGTTCTTTTCTATCTGTTTCTCTTTTTCCATTACTGGGTATGTGTAGAGTCTCTTTATTAGATAATTAATACCTGACAATTTGTGCTCAAATGGATGACACAAACTGTTAGGTATTATGATGTCCGTTTGTGTGGGATTCCTATATATTGCAAGTTGCAAGCTATCTTCATTATGATGTATTGTTATATCTAGAAAATTATTTAAAACACGTTTCAGAGACTGGATTCTGTTTTTAGCCCTATCATTTGGGCCCAACTCAGTAAAGTTTACCTGGAGACGGACACAGAATCCAGTTTCTGAAAGGTTTTGTTTTTAAATAAAAACAGAACGATGGATAATGTCCAGAAACATAATATTTTTGTTAATGTACATACCATTGTCACAAACTTTTAAATCTTACATTAAAAAATATATTATTAAGTGCACCTCAAAAGTTGCAGTGTTGACAATAGGCAGTTAAGCAGTATGGTGGTGGGGTGACTTCTACTGATATAACATTTTAACAACTATCATGACTGTTACAATTTACACTGATTGTAATTTTGTAATGTAATACTTTAGAATCATATTTTTTTAAAATCCCTACATCTCTGTATTGGCTTTGAATGGGTGTGAAACATGGTGCAGTTCAATGCTGGAACCCATACCGCTTTGTGAAGGAGATAATGAATATAATTACATGGAAGTGGCAAGAAATCTATATGTAGTTTGTTTTCTTCTACATCCTAAAATATAGCAACCATTTTTACTGTCTGAAATAATTTTTGTGACTCCATTATTCAATGATATTTAAAATAAAACCATTTGAGTGCATAGGTAATTTATGTATACACTTTTTGTTTATAAAAAGAACAACAAAAGTGTCTAGTTTTGACTGCACACATTTTTTGCGCTTTGTGTACCTACCATGATGATCGTCGTCGTACTAGATACCCAGCCATACCAGGATCGTAAATAAGCCTTGGCAAGGAATTTGGCTGCAGTTGCATACTCTTCATCATAATGATTAACATCATTAAAATACTATTACTATTACTTTTATCCAGTATCCATTTGCCTCCAGAATAGAAAGTTACACATTTTATAGCAAGTTCTTGATTTTGTTTCCAGGCTGCTGTTATGCAACAGAGTATCCTGTACTTCAGGAATTCACCGTAGATGTTGGGGGTAATTTAACCCTTCCATGCGCAGATTCATCCACAGTGTTGCCACATGCTGACCCCCACTCTGTGATATGGGTACGGGAGGGACGAGATGATGGATTTAATCGCAGGAGAATTGAGTCTGATGGAGCCCTCACTCTCACAGCCTTGGAGCGGGATGATGCGGGAATCTATGCATGCACAGTGGAAGGAGATTATGGGTCATCTGAGAGTACTGAAGTAATTAGATCAAGAGTCAAGGTGGAGGTTCGAAGTGAGTCTGTTTTGCGGTTTGCTAGTCCTGCATGAATAACAAAGATTTGGTGAGCCATATACACAATGTTGTCTATTGTAAATATTATTTAGTCCGGTCATGATTTGTCCTACCCTGTGTCATTTGTTTGGAATATATATTGCAAAATATGTTGCAAACTATTCTTTTGCATTTTTTCACAACTTGTAATTACCCACCAAGATTCAGGTATTGTATATTGTGTAACCATGATTGGAACGTCATTAAACTGAGTCTTCTAAGACATCTTTTCATAATTTTTCTTGTTCTGTTGAGGAAACTGAGAAGATGATGCCTCAAAATTTGTTACTCACAATTATTTTAACCACTAAGTGCCATCATCTTCAAAAGTCTTAATAACAGAATTTGCCCTGCTTTTGAAGTTTCATTGTCTTTTTTCTGCAGCACACAATTTTATGTTTCAGTTGCATCAAACAAACACTGTATTTGTCGATCTGGTAAGACAGAGCTTAAGTGTTCTTGTATGGGAATATATAATGAGGACATTGACCAGACAAAAAATATACGGTTTGATATGCATTAATACTTGCTTGCAAATAATTTGGTGGTTTGCCACAGATGTGCAGTGGCAAAGAATTGTCAAGTGCTTATTTGGAACAAGTAAGCATTAATCAATATAAGAAGGTGCTCCTGAATCTTCCCTCTAGTGATATGGAATTCTGTTCATAAAAATAAGATGTTTGTAGTAGTTTGTCTTTTGTGTGTTTTAATTATGATGTATTGTAATTTTGAAAATAGAAGGCCAGGAAAGCAAGCCCCAAGTTTTGCACAAATAAGCCAGAGTTTTTTTTTAAGATGTTTGACAATTTAAAGCAGGAAGTAGGTAACCGCCACCCAAATCCACATCTGATGTGTCTGATGATGGACTAAGGACTGTTCAACGCATTGTTAATGAAGGAAAATTTCTGTTTACTACACAAGAACATCTGAATTTTGAATCACAAGGCAAAACTCAGCATTAGTGAAGAATGTGACATTTATAAATGATTCTGACAAGTCCAAGGCCTATTCAGAAAGAAACCTCAGTTTATTTTAAGCAACTAATGTAGGA